GTTGTTGCTGTTGTTGTTGCTGTTGTTGTTGTTGCTGTTGTTGCTGTTGTTGTTGTTGTTGCTGTTGTTGTTGTTGTTGCTGCTGTTGTTGTTGTTGTGGTTGTTGTGGTTGTTGTTGTTGTTGTTGTTGCTGTTGTTGTTGCTGTTGCTGTTGTTGTTGTTGCTGCTGCTGCTGTTGTTGTTTGTTGTTGTTGATTGTTGCTGTTGTCGTTGTTGCTGTTTGTTGTTGTTGTTGTTGCTGTTGTTGTTGCTGTTGTTGTTGCTGTTGTTGTTGTTGCTGCTGCTGTTGTTGTTTGTTGTTGTTGTTGTTGATTGTTGTTGTTGTTGTTGTTCTTGTTGTTGTTGCTGTTTGTTGTTGTTGCTGTTGTTGTTGTTGCTGTTGTTGTTGTTGCTGTTGTTGTTGTTGTTGTTGCTGTTGTTGTTGCTGTTGTTTGTCCTTTTCCCAACATTCGGTGGGTTTTTCCTTCTGTCGGGTCCCTGGGGGGCGCGCCGACCCAGGCCAGGCCGAGCCCGGGGCCCAGGGTCGGCGGACGCGCCCACCAGGCTCTTGCAGCCCAGGGAGGCGTGCACGGGCTGCGTGGTTAGGCAGGACGGGCCTGGCCGCGGATGGGTGCGCATGGATCATCGGGGGCAGCGGCAGGGGGGGGATAAGGCACAGAGGGTGATGCACCGACGCTCCTTGATCGCCGATAGGGGCCCGATAGCCCCACCCCGCCCAGGAACGTAGAGATTCGCTATCTGGGGCCTATCGCCGATTCCAGGTCGATGTTTCCCCCCTTGCCGGTCCCCCCCCTTATCGTTGCTCCTCGGATCAGGTTGAGATCTTTTGCTGCTGACGCGACACGCTGAGCGAAAGTTCCCGACCGTAGGCCGACCCCACCCCCCGAAGGTGGGCGAGCGGCTGCGCGGCCTGCGGCGGGAAGGCCGGCAGCTGGACGTGGCGCAGCGGCGCCTGCGGCTGGCCTTGGGCCAGAAGGACCTGCCGGGCATCGAGCGGGAGCTGCGGTCCATCCGCGCCATGGGCGCGTCGGCGCCCGGCGCGGAAGGCGCGGCTGGGGCCCCTGGCCTGGTGGCGTCCGCGAGAGGCGAGCGCAGCGGCGAGCAGCCGCACTCGGATCGGCTGGTGGAGGCCGCCGCGGCCATGATGCGCCACCTGCAGGACGCGCAGGTTCGCCGCCACAATGCGCAGACGGCGCTCTGCGAGCGCCTCTCCGGCGACGCGGCGGCGGCCGCCGCGAGCGACCCCTGCGCGCCGGTGAAGCTGCCCGCTGGAGATGTGGGGGCCGCTGTCCCCAGCGTGGACTCGCAGGGCTGGGTGAAGGAGGTGTCGGGCGGGTCTGGGGCTGGGATGAATCGTTCCCGGAGCGTTCCAGAACGTTCTCGGATCGTTCGGAGCGCTGTGGAACGGCTGTGGCGCCCGATGCATTTCCCGCTGAATATCAGAGGTCTTCGACGGTCCGATTTTGTCCCAGCCCTGGCCTTGTCACAGATGACGGAGATGATCCACGAGGCCAAGCAGAGCGGCGTGCCCCCCACGCTGATCGAGCACGCGCGGCTGAGGGTCAGGGAGGTGCGGCGCTGGGAGTCGGAGCGGCAGGTGAGCGATGTAACACATCGGGGTCGTCCGCGCCGACATTGCGCGTAAGCTGCCACGTAAGGTCGCGCGTAAGCGCCCTCGTCTCTGATGTAGCATGCCGCGCTGGCGGCCCGCGTAAGCTGCGGCGTAAGGTCGCTGTGCCATCTCGCGTAAGTCCCGTTTTTGATCGTCGCACACGTGGCGTGCCACGATCACGGAGGAGGAGGAGGAGGAGGAGGAGGAGGAGGAGGAGGAGGAGGAGGAGGAGGAGGAGGAGGAGGAGGAGGAGGTGCAGGAGGCGGGGGGAGGAGGTGCAGGAGGAGGAGAGGAGGAGGAGGAGGAGGAGAGGAGGAGGAGGAGGAGGAGGAGGAGGAGGGGGAGGAGGAGGGGGCGGGCGAGGAGGAGGGGGCGGGGGAGGAGGCGGGGGCGGAGGGATCGTCGCACAGGTGGCGTGCGCGGGGCTGCAGCAGGCGCTCGCCAAGAAGGGCGCGCCGGCGGAGGAGGTCCTCCGGAGCTTGCGGCGCGTGCAGCGCCTGGAGAAGGCCGGCGGCGCGCCCACGGGGAGAGGCCGAGGGGGCGGGCCTTCTCAGAAGGCTTGCGAGGGCGGCCCGCGGCCTTCCGAGAAGCTTTCTGGGCCTTCTCCGAAGCCCCGCCGCCTTCTGGTCGACAACACGCAAGAGTGACCCTTGGCCGGAGTGACCTTTGGTGCGGGCTCACTGGGGTCCCCTGATCGCCGAGCGCGGTGCGGTAGTGGCGTCTTGCGCGCTCGCTTTTGGCCCCCCCGCGGCCCCCGAAAAGCCGCGCACCAACGGTCACTCTTACCCAGGGTCACGCTTGCGTGTAGCCGTTCTGAGAAGGCCTGTCCCCTCTCACTTCCCCCCTCTGCGCGCCGCTGAGAAGGGCGCGCCGAACTCGGCGAGGTGAGGCGAGCAGCTCCTCCTCCGGCTCATGCTTCTCGTCCTCGTCGCGTCCTGTCCACTGCCTTCCCTGCTCCGAGTCCGCGCTGCGCCAGCGGGCGCGTAGGTCCCTCTTGCCTGCGGCGGGCTCCGATGCACGATTTCGGGTGAATTGGAAATTTCTAGAAGCAATGCTTGCCGATATTCAGTTCCGCTCATCTGCGATTTGGGGGGGTGCGCCGGAGGAGCCGTCCGGCAGGACCCAGCTCCCTGGCCTTGCCGGCCGCAGGGACAGGAGCCCGATCTATCTGCGACGGGGCCCTGTTTAAATGGGCCTCCTCTCAGCGAGAGGCGTGCGTCGGGGGGGATGGGAGCACCCGTGCGAGCGGACGGAAAATCCGACTCGGGTGAGCTGGCCCGAAGGCGCTTCATGGTGCACCGGCAGCTGAAGCCGAAGCCAAAGCTGAAGTGCACAGAGAAGCGGAAGGGGCCCGCCCTGCAGGTTTGGCTGACAGCACACCGTTGAGCGGTGCTGCAGCCTCTCCAGAGCACAGGCCGCCCACAGAGCAACAGCCAGACAAGTCAGCGTGCGTCGCGGGGCAGAAGAGCGCCCCACCCCCCGCTTGGCGCCGCAACCGCTGCAACCGCGCCCCTCCCGTCTTCTTCGGCGACCTCCTCAGGTCCAGTCGCCGACGGCGACGACCACGATGGCGACGGCCACCTCGTCGACGACGTCCGCGAGGTCCACGACGGCCACGACGACGACGGCGGGGACGACGACCACAATGACAACGCCGGCTGCGATGACGAAGTCGACGACAACGCAGCGACGAAGACCACGACGACGACGGCGACGTCCCCTGGACCTCTCTTGTCACCGAACGCGTTCCACTACTCGCAAAGCGCCTACTCGCAAACGTCCGAGCAACAAAAAACACATGCTCGCCCCGACGTGATAGATCGCAGATCCCCCGCGGCGGATCCAGCCCACCTGCGGGCAGTGGAACGCGCTCGCCCATCGTGGGGCGCGTTCCAGCCAGGATCCGGCCGTGCCGAGGAGATGGGCGCCCACCGCCCAGAAGCGACGACGACCACGGTGGCCACCTGCGAGCGACCACGGCGACCACCGCGACGGGCCCATCCTGCCCGCGCCCCACCGAGCCCACGGAGGCCGCCGCGCACGCGCCCGCGCGAGCGCTGCGCTGCGCGGGTGGGGGCGCCCGGGCTCCCCACCCGCAGGAGGGCTCGGGGTGCCGCTCGGACGTGTGCACTTTCTCTCGGCGGGGGCCGTCGAGGAGCATCTGGGTCCTAGATCTGTGGAGGACGATCAGTCGAGAGGAAGCATGTTGCCGAATAGTTTCCAGATGTCTGAAAATGTGTCAAACATGTGTCAAACATGTACACCGCACTCACATCTATACCCCTGGGTGGGTGTATGTGCGGCCGTTTTTGCGCTGTCATGTGCGCGCATGTGCGCGGCATGTGCCAGTCATGTGCCAGGCCTGTGCGGTCCTTCTTGGATGGACTTCCTACTGTGCACGTCGTGCCCGGGCATGTGCGGGGGCATGTGCGCTGTGTTTTGATGTATCCATCATACGCACATGCACGCACAGTCCGACGCACATGCGCGCACATGCCTGCACATGCGGGAGGTGTTCGAGAATCGCAGATCTGTCATCGGCACATGCACGCACATGCCTGTGCAACCTCTCTTCGGGAGGCCGCGCGGGCCCGCACATGCACGCACATGCGGTGAAGCGCGCGGGCGCACATGCGTGCACATCCCAATGCACATGCACGCTCATGCCCTAGGAGCTGTCTGGGACCCCTGTGCCTCCAATGCCTCCTGGCCTTCGCAGAGCTAACCTGGGGCGTGCCAGGGTTTCCTGAAAGAGTTTGTTGTGCGTTTAGACTCGCCCGCTGCTGGCGGGGGCGGTTATTCGCCCGGTTCGTGAGCTGGCGGTGGCGCGCCCGCCTAATAGAATACTCCCGCGCGCCTTCTCAGCTCGGCCGGAGAAGCAGGGAGTGGGGGGGGGGAGGTGGAGGGGGGGGGGAGGAGGGGGGGGGCGGAGGAGGCGGGCGCCCCCGGCCACTGGCCAGCCTGCCTGTTCGGCTCGGCCAGAGGAGAAGGAGGAGGAGGAGGAGGAGGAGGAGGAGGAGGAGGAGGAGGAGGAGGTGAGAGTTGCGAGGCTGTCTCAGGCGAAAGTGGCTTGACGGCCCGAGCTCAGGGAATCTCGGAATCGCTGGCCTGGCTCGGCCACCGGCGAGCTCGGCCTGTGCGAATACTGTGCGTACCTGTGCAGTGCATGTGCGGGACGTGCAAGAATGCCGGGGCCGGCGTTCGTCTCCGGACGCCGGCGCGTTCGCGTCCGGCCAGTTCCGCGTGAGACGTCGTCGGCAATTTGGAGGCCGACGTGCTTTGACATGAAGTGATCTGGCCACCTTCGCCTGAGACATCCTCGCAACTCTGGTCTCGGAGATGCCCTGCCCCATGGTGGCCCGGCCACTTTCGCTTGATCTCCTGCCCCATGCTGGTCAGGCCACGGTCGCCTGAGACATCCTCGCAAGTCTCGATTCCGATATGCCCCGAGCTGAGGTGGTCAGCCACTGTCGCCTGAGACATCCTCGCAACCCTGATCTCAATGATGCCCTGCTCGATAGTGTCTCGGCCCCTTTCGCCTGAGACATCCTCGGAACTCTGGGTTCCGAGACGCCCTGAGCTGAGGTGGTTAGACCACTTTCGCTTTAGACATCCTCGCCCGAGATGCCCTGAGTTGAGCTGTTCAGGCCACTTTTGCCTGAGACATCCTCGCAACTCTGACCTCAATGATGCCCTGCTCCATAGTGTCTCGGCCTTTTCGCCTGAGACCCTCGCAACTCTGGGTTCTGAGATGCCCTGAGCAGGTGGTCAGGCCAGTCCTGCCTGAGACATCCTCGCAACTCTGGGCTCCGAGATGCCCTGGGCTGAGGTGGTCAGACCACTCTCCCCAGAGACATCCTCGCAACTCTGACCTCAGAGATCTCTTGCCCCATGGTGGTCAGGCCACTTTCGCTTGAGACATCCTCACAACTCAGACCTCGGAGGTGTCCTGCCCCATGGTCGTCTGGTCACCTTGACCAGCGACATCCTCGCCACTCTGGTTTCCAAGATGCCCTGCCCCATGGTGATCCGGCCACGCTTGCCTGAGACATCCTCGGAACTCTGGGTTGCGAAATGCCCCGAGCTCAGGTGGTCAGGCCACTATCGCCTGCGACATCTCTGCGGCATGTGCGGGCATGTGCGTCTATGCTTTCAGAGTTTTGCTTGACCGTGCATTCGACTGTGCGTCGGACGGTGTGGCATGTGCGCGCATGTGCGGCAATGCTGTTGAGGCTTTTGTATATTTGCATGGGCATGTGCATGCGACTGTGCGGCATGTGCCTGCATGTGCGGCCCCTTCCGGACCACAATTTCAAGGTGAGCACTATAGAAATGAGCGCTATAGAAGTGAGTCCGGTGTAACAAAACATATGTAAAACATGTTTAGGGCATTTTCCGACATTGTGAACACATTTTAAGTTCAATGATACGACTGTTAGGGTGTCCATGGTCGTGGCATCCACAATTCTAGACGCTCCTGGGTTCTAGGATCCTCGTGCGAAAAAGCAGCGCACGAAGCCGAACCACGGCGCGGGGAAGGGTCGCAGTTCTCGGTGTGCGGGGGGTCGTCTTCGGGCCCCGGGGCCGTCGTGAAGCGATCGGGGACGAAGCGCGTCCACGGGAAGGTGTCGAGAGGTCCCTGGGCGACGCTTTGAAAAACAGAAGACTCGGGGGCCCCCACACGGTGCGGTGACCACACCGTGCGGTGAGTCGGTGGGGATTCGGGGTCACCGCACGGTTTTGGGATTCGGGTCGTTCTCTGAGGACGTCTCGGGCGACAGGGGCCTGCGAGGCCCCAAGACGGTGCTGTGACAGACCGTGCGGTGAGGTCTTGGGAGATTTCGAGGTCACCGTACGGTTTGTCACCGCACCGCTTCGGGACTCCCAAAAGACATATAGGGGTTTGGGTTACACTTCCACTCATGCTTGGCCAGGGCCGCAGGATGGTTAATAGAGCCTGGCCTCAGTCAGGAGGGCGTGTACGCCATCCTGGGGCCCAGGATAGCCCTGGTCTGGCATGTCGGGGAGTGTATCTGCGCTTTTGGGGTATCTGCAGACATCTGACGACTCGACGACATGTCGCTGGAGCTTCCAATCCGAGAGGGCCGAGATGCCGTACGCCCACTGTCGCGCGGGCAACAAAAACGCACATCGATGCTGATGCTGTTCGTTCGTTTGTGCCTTTGGTCAGAGCGTGAATTACCTACCCCGCTTTCGCTTCCAGGCGAAACCAAGCCATACCACGCGCCTCCTCGTCTAGCGGCCTGACCAGTACAGGCTGCAATTTGGCGTCGTTTGGTATCTCTTGGAAGCGAGGGTGGTCAAAAGCGAGGGAGGTTTGTTTTCCCCCTATTTGGGTTTTTCGGGGGAGGGCTCTTGTCGCCGACGCTGGGCTCGCGTCGAAGGCCTGGGAGGGGCCGGGGGAGCAGCCGCACCGGTATGTTCCTTTGCCCCCGCCGTCCAGGGGGGCCGTTCTCGGGCCCAGAGCGTGCCGGAACGCTCTGGCACGGCCGCGGCGCCCGCCAGCTTTTGCACATTCCAGACCCGTTGGGCTCCAGAGGAATCTCAGCACGATGTTTGTTTTTGTTCTTCCTTCGTCTTGGCTCGAGAGATCAGGGGCTCGCGGGCCGATCCACCAGAGGTCTGGATCTGGTCGCTCCGTCGCGCGAGAGATGCTGCAGGCAGACCTTAGCCGCGGCCTTCCTTCCTGGACTGCCGGGCCCCCCCCGAGGCGCTCTGTCGAAAAAGCGCACCTGTGGGAGGAGGAGGAGGATGAGGAGGAAGGAGGAGGAGGAGGAGGAGGAGGAGGATGAGGAGGAGGAGGAGGATGAGGAGGAGGAGGAGGAGAATGAGGAGGAGGATGAGGAGGAGGAGGAGGGAAGAGGAGG